CAGATACAGTGTATGGCCATCACTTTCAGATTCCTCTCCTATGGACCCTCTCAACACACCCATGTCTGCTAGAACATTAGCCAATATTTATTAAAATTACTCATTAGTATTTCATTAATATTTAATAGTATTTAATACACCTAATGATATTTACTATTCTTAACCATCTCCCCCACTAGAGTAAAATCTAAGGCAGGAACCACATCTAAGCAGATGTTTTACTCCCAGTGGCCAAGGATGATGCCTGACACCCTTCAGGATTCTGTAAACATCCAACACAGTTATTACTCTCTGCTAATTACAACCAGCTTAATTAAGACCTTGTACTCTAGAGCCAAATGCTCAGATTTGTATCCCAGTCTCTAACTGGATACTTATCCATTCTCTGCCTCAGTTTCTTTACGTATAAAAGAGTGCCAATGGTTGTACATGGCTGATAAGTATCCGTTAGTTCATTGTGCCCCATACACAGTATAGAATACATAGTGCTCAATGTCACCTGTCCCAAACGTTCATCGTCAGCATTATTGACATTGTTGCCATCAACACCAGCACCGTCAGCTCAACTTCCCACCAAACCCTATCTCAGTTTCCTCTCCCAACTGCAGCTGCACGTTCATTAAGATCATATTTGGTCCTGATACCTTCTGGTTCTCTCCATGGTAATGTTTTATACACTGTGTATTGATTCCAGAAACTTCTGAATGCTAAACTAGCTTTCTCAGTCAAACAATGTATGCTTGAAATGTATCCCTATATCAGCTATAGCTTTATGCTCAGGCTCTTAAATTATGCGCATGTGTGTGTGCATAGGTGTGTGTTGATTAGGCAAATTAAAAATACGACCAGAAAATTAAATTCTATGCAAACACATCATATAATGCATTTCAGAGGCAAACAAATACCTTTGCCTGTCTTGTTGTTAGAGATTATCCACCTGAGAGCTTTATTTTTCCATTAACATATCTAGCAAAGAGTTAAGGAAAATCTGATAATAAAACGGCAATCTCTGTGTGCCACCTTGCCATAGAACCTACTGTCCTTTTTGGATGGGAGAGCAGGATAATGTGAAATGAGAAGTTGAGGAAAATAACAGAAGCTGGAATGAGGTGCCAGAGGAAGGCAACCATAAAATCATTGAAAATACAGAGAGAGGGAGAGAGGAGAAAAAAATAAGATGAGATGAACATCAAATATCATTATGTTAGTCAATCGTATTCATTGAATGGAGCCTTTAATGTACACAAAGAGGGAGCATTAAGACTACATACACATATGTATATTCATAAAGCATCTCTAAAATATCTCACAGGTAATTGATCATATCAGTTGCCTTCAGCAAGGAAAAATGTATGTGGCTGGGATGGAGAAGGGGAAGCTTTAACTGGAAGTCCTTTGTCTTTATAAGCCATATGGATATATAAACAAAATTTTTTTCTGCCCTAGGCATGGAACCAAAAGTATACAGTAGGCAAGTGTTCAATCACTGAGCTACATCCTCATCTCATCAAAATGGATTTTTTTATTGTGAAAATACTGTACAGAGGGTTTACAATTACATGGGCAAGATAATGAGTACAATTCTTATCAAGCATTATAGCCTCCTCCTTTATTTCCCCTTCCCATCCCTTCCCATCCTCCCCTGGCCTCTCCCCCCCCCCAATCCCCCTCCCCTCCCACCAAAGTTGTAAAGTTCATTTTCGATGTAACAAAATGGATTTTAAAAAAAATCATCTGTGGCTTGCACCTGTAATCCTAGCTACTTGAGAGGCTGAGATCTGAAGATCACAGTTCAAAGGTAGCCAGGGCAGAAAAGTCTATAAGATTTTTACCTTCAATTAAGCATCAAAAAGAAAAAGGCAGGAATAGAGCAGTAGCTAAATTGGTAGAGTGTGAGCCTTGAACAAAAAAGCTTAAGGACAAATGCCCAGGACCTGAGTTGAAGCCCCAGGACCAGCAATCTTCCTCCTCTTCCTTCTCCTCCTCCTCCTTCCTCTCTTCCTGCTCCCCTCTTCCTCTCCTTCTTCCCCTTCCTCCCCCTCCTTCTTCTGATCATCATTATTATCATCTTATAGGGTAAGCAGAGATTGAGTTGGAAGTTGGGACCTGAATTCTGGTTCTGCACTTATCTGTATCAATCTGTGATTTTTAGCAAATCACTTCTCTCTCTGGGCCCTGACCTTTTCCCTTGAAATAAAGGCATTATGTTTGGTTTTGTATTCCACTCCCGCTTCTCAGGATTCTCCCTTCAGTAGGAACTACAACACTACAGCCAATCCACTTCCAGCCCCTGATAGTGTGAATCCACTACAGACCAGCCCCTCCCTTGCAGACCTGGTCTTTCCAGTTTGTGATCCTTCTTCTGGTGGTCATGGGACCTCGCTTGACCTCTTCAGTTTGGGACGTTTGGGGGATAAAAGAGAGGTCTCCAAAAATTTTGAACTTAATGAAAATGAGAGTGAGAAAAAGGGGGGAAATATGGTCAGTGTAAGGAAGAGCCCAGAATAAGAGAGAACCAGGAGAGGCTGAGTATGAGCAAGGTCACCATGGAGCAGAGCAGGGTTGTAGAGAGATGGTGAAGCACAATGGGAGGAATGACATGGCAGCCACTGCAGTAACCTGCCCAATGGGGAAGAGTGGGAAGGATACACAAACATGCAATGAGGAGGACCGCAGGGGAAAAGTCCTGCTCAGTGTCTTTCCATCAACACGAAACCTCCATTGTGATATTTGCTCAGGCCACATGCAACGTAAGTTAAAAAGATATCAGAGACGGCTGTGAGGTTTCTGGATGAGGTCGGGAAGGAGAGGAAGGAAGGAAAGAAGAGAAGGGGGAAAGAATTAAAAGGACAGGTAGGCACAGAACATCATAGGCAGTGGAGAAATGAAGGGAAATAAAAGAGAAAGAGATTTGAGTTCACCCATCCCAGGAGTAAAACTCACAAATAGGAACTGGGGACATTCAACCTGAGGAACACAAAAACGAGCTTGGGGACTTTGCTAGGTAGGGAGTCTACTAGACACCTTTCAGCACTGAAGGGCTCTAGTTCTACAAAGTATCTGAAGGATTCTTGTCCCCAAGAATGATGGAACTTACTTTTTGTGGTTTCCAAGGATAGATTAGGAGGCATGGGAGAAACGCACAAGGTTTGAACTTGAGGAAAGGAAGAAGCTTTAAGCAAGTGAAGATGGAATATTAAAAAACCAACCCAAAGTTCCAAAAGTGGAGGGGGGAAGGTCGAAGACTGGGGACTCATCCAGGAGGGGTAATAACATTATCAGCTAACCAATGGAAGACCCAGCCCATTGTATACATAGCAGTATACATAGCAGTATAGTATACAAAGTATACATAGCAGGCATCTTCAGGGAAAGAGACTGGGCCCACATGACAAGTCCCTAAGAGGCTGAGGGAAGGGCTGTCCCACTGAACCCAATCTGCCAGAGGCCTCACAGAGCACAAAATCCAGTAACAGCCAGAAACCACACCCACTGGTGCCTCGTGCCTACTCAATACGTATGTGCACACCCAGAGAACATACATCCTTTCTTGGACACTCTTGAGCATCCACAAGTTTTCACATTCATTCAAGACTTACCCAAAATGTCCATCCGCACATACACAGTTTGCATCCTACCCATGCGTGTGACAGACACACTCTCACGGCTGGCTTCTTGCTCAAATGCTCGCGCGCACACACCCGTGTCATGGGCCGTCCTCTTACACTTGTCTGCACGCTCGTGCACGTAAACACAAATACTCAGAATCTCTCGGGTAAATACGGTACAAACCGGGCCCATCTGTGCAAGTGCACCCACGCCCCTCCACCGTCCCCCCGCCCCTCTACCCCCACTCCAGGCCAACTCCAGCAAAGAGAGACTTCCCGCTAGCTAGCTCGGTCGGTGTGCAGCGGCCACAGTGGCCAGGAATTAAAATGCAGCGAGGAGGAGCCGGGGCTGGCGCGTCAGCACCGCGTCTCCAAGAGCGCACAGCGCTGGCCGCCGCCGCCGCCGCCCCGCCCGCCCCGAGCCGCGGGGCCAAGCGAGCGCAGGAGCAGGTGCTCAGAGACCAGCCGCGACTGCCTCCTCGCGCGGCCCCTGCCCAAGTTCGCCCGGGGCCCGAGGAGGGCCGGGCAGCCGAGAGAAGAGCGCATCCAGTACCGTGCCACCGCTACCGCCACCAGCCGACTTTGGAGAGAAGGGCGCACCGAGCCGCGAGTCATCACCCCGGGGGAGGTGTTGCCCCGGTCTCGCAGTGTCCAGCTCCCGGTGGCGCCCGGGGCAAGGGAGAGGAGCAACGAGGGACAACGAAATCGGGCTTTTCTGGAGACTTAAAGCACCCCGGAGAGCCAAGCCGAGGGGGAGAAGACACAGTTTCTCTGACCAGAAGCCTTGCAGGGGCCGGCAGCGAGCAGCTTCCCGCAGGACGCCTTGAGAAGCCGCCGCCCCCACCCCACCCCTCCCGCCCCCCAAGCCCAGGCGGCGGCGGGCGCTGCGCACGACTGGGGCGCAGGACTTGGAGAGAAGCCTTTGGCGCGTTTGGGCCGAGCGCAGCCTGGGGAAGAGCAGTGAGAAGGAAAGGTTCTGGAGGGGAAAGGAAAAGGGGGAGCAACCGCCGGGGCGACCACTCACCCCAGTACACACCCACCCACCCCACCCGCCAAGTCAGGCGCCGCCGCGCGCCTCTGGGGGCGCTCGTTCCTTGGCGCCTTCCGTGCTGTGTCCCAGCACCGCCGGGCTCCGGGCTGCTGGGGGCCTTGGAGGAATGTCCGAATTAGGCATGGTGGCCGGGTGGTTCCTGTCCCAGGACCAGCGTAAAAGCTGGGGCTAGGTGGGACCGGGGGGACTCATCGCGGGGTCCCCCGAGGTCCAGGACGAGGGGAGGCAGGCGCAGCGCCCAGGGACTGGAAAGGCGGCTCTCAGTCGGGGTCCATCCAGAGGTGGTGCCCGGCGTCGGGCATCGTCCGGGAAGACTAAGAGGGCCCAGGCGAGGCAGGGGGGCGGCGGGCCGAGGAGGCGCTCAGTCCCGGGCGGGCGCCCGCGGAGGCGGCGGCGGCGGCGGCGGCGCCGGGCGGGCATGCCGCGCCACCGGAGCTCCTTTCGGGCGCACGCTTCCCTGCCGAGGGCTGCGCGCGGCTGCTGCTGCTTCCACTGCTGCTGCGGACTCCCATGGCGGCTCCGCCCGGCCGGGTCCGCCGCCGCCGCTGCCGCCAGCCCCGGGCTGAATGAATGAGCCGGAGCGGCGGAGCTGGGCTGCCCGCGGCCGCGCTCACCGGCCCGGGACGCTTCCGCATGGCCCGCGAGCAGCCCGAGCCCGCGGCGGTGGCGGTGGCCGGGCAGCCCGGGGGTGGCCGGGGTGGCGAGAGGGCTCTGCAAGGGTCAGGGGGCGCCCGCAGGGGGCGGCCGTCTCTGAGCCGCGCTAAACTGCACGGGCTGCGGCACATGTGTGCCGGGCGCACGGCGGCCGGGGGCTCCTTCCAGCGACGGGCGCTGTGGGTGCTGGCCTTCTGTACGTCCCTCGGCTTGCTGTTGTCCTGGTCCTCGAACCGCCTGCTCTACTGGCTCAGCTTCCCGTCACACACGCGGGTGCACCGGGAGTGGAGCCGCCAGCTGCCCTTCCCCGCCGTCACCGTGTGCAACAACAACCCGCTGCGCTTCCCGCGCCTCTCCAAGGGGGACCTCTACTATGCCGGCCACTGGCTGGGGCTGCTGCTGCCCAACCGCACGGCGCGCCCGCTGGTCAGCGAGCTGCTGCGGGGCGACGAGCCGCGTCGCCAGTGGTTCCGCAAGCTGGCCGACTTCCGCCTCTTCCTGCCGCCGCGCCACTTCGAGGGCATCAGCGCTGCCTTCATGGACCGCCTGGGCCACCAGCTCGAGGACATGCTGCTCTCCTGCAAGTACCGCGGCGAGCTCTGCGGCCCGCACAACTTCTCCTCCGTGAGTTGCCCTCCGCGCTCGAACTTGCCCTCCACGCACACGCAACCCCAAGTTCCCAGAGTGCCGAGGCCCACACTTCCATCCACCCCCTTCATGGCTGGACACCAGGCCTGTGGCTGGCGGTGTCTCTGAGTCACCATTCCGTCATGACAAAGTGGATCCACACTCTTGCCTACCCCCCCCCCCCCCCCCACACTCCCTCCAGTCTTCTCTCTGGGTTGTGCGAACTTGGCTCCTAATTGGAAAGAAAAGAAAGAAAAAATTTAACAAGACCCATCTCGGTGTAGTCCCAGCCCTCTCTGTCCTTGTGTCTCCCACAAACTTCTTACTTTACTCCCTTGTGGCCCCATCTACGTTTTCCCTCTTCCCTGGCCTCACCCCCCAGATCCACAGAACCCCCCCCCCCAAGCTACATGCTGCGAGCCTGGGATGTAGGCATTTCTCAGGTGTGGACCTGTTGTCATGGGGGAGTTGGGGGGGTGCATGAGGGAACCTAAAGAAAGTGCTCCAAAACACAGTGGGAGCGGGTGTGCAGAGTTCCTAAGCTGCTTATGGCTTCAGAGTTCTGAAACAGACCCTAGGAGGAAGCTTCCAGAACACTAATCAACAGTGAAGCTTTGCTGGAGGGGGAGGGAGGGGGAGGAGAGACACAGATAGTTTGCTGGGGACAGAGAAGGGAGCAGCTCTCCTGCTCATTTATATAAGCTCTGGGAAGTGTTCCTCCGTTGGGTCCTTCCATCAGGTGTGAATGTGGGACTTCCATTCTGAGAAAGGGTCCTGCTTGTCCTATAGCTACATGCCAGGGATGTGGGTGCAAACAGCCAGGGCCAGAAGAAGCTGTGCTCAAGGTTTGTAAGCCATTTGCTGTACTGATTTTCCCCACACTGTGGTCTGGCTAACACAGCTGTAGGACAGAAGGTATCTGCCTGGCGCCTTCTGTCTTGGAGGAATTCTGGTGCCAGGCCTCAGCATGGCACCAGCCTGTCCAGCCATTTGTGTATAAATGTCCCTTAGGTGGGCACTGGCTTTTCTACCAGCCCAGGGAAGGTTGTATTGCATGTTCATTGGTAGAATTCTGATGCTGATTTCACCAGACCTGACCTCTCAGTCCTGATGGTTTCCATCTCTGACAAGCTTTTTGGGGAGATGGCTACCAGACGCAACCATTTCAACAGGTGTTGGCATGATGCTGGTTCAGCTAGGCCTCTGATTGGCTGAATGGGTTGTTTCTTGTCTAGGTTGCTGTCCCTGGCTCCAGTCTGACCCTGCTGACTTTGTTTGAAGTCTGTGTAGAGTAACCCCTAAATTATCCATTCTGAAACATCCCTTGTTTTCTGGGCTTCTCAGATGGCCTTTAAAGATGATCTCTACCTGGTGCCATCATGCCTTAGCAAGCAGGAAATGCTGTTAACGTATGCTTCTAAGTGACTTCTTCAAGAACTTCAAATAACAATTCTGGAGCTCCACAAAGACAAAGGAATGAGGATAGCCACACCTTGTCTGTTGTGCTTTGGCTGAATCCTAACTAGCAGCTTCTAGAGTTTGCATGAAGTTCAAGATTACGTCCAGGTATCAGCTCCAAGTTGTATGACATAGCCTACCTAATGCGATTCTAACACTGGACAATTGCTTTACCAAGTGTGTGGAATTATATTCTAATAACCAATATTCACTTTTCATATTACTACCTCCTGAATTAGCAATGAGTCTTCTTCTCGTTTTTAAAATAGGAAAAGCCAGGCTCTGAAGTTGTCAGTTCAGATCCTGACTTTGCATACCACCAAATGCTTTGCACAGAACTTTTGTTCTCTGACCCTGGGCCTCTCTTCTCTCAAGGGACTCTTGTTTCACACTCCTACCATCACCACCAGATCTTACCCTTTCTAGGAGCTGGGAGAGAAAGAGTAGAGCCACTCATGTGGTCCAGGTAATCAGAACCTTGGCCACATATTATCAGGGCCTCACCCCACACCCTACATGCTGAGGACATAGTACCATTGGGTGTCATCTGACTTCAACCTCCGCAGTGGGTGTGGCCCTGAGTTTTGTGAGTCAATCATTAAAGAGTACCTATGTCTGAAGGTTACCAACCCCCAAAGGTTGGTATGCCTAGAGTCAAAGTGATGCCCGGTGGCTTCTAGTCTTGAAGCATCAAGCACTGTAGGTTTTGCCAAGTGTCCTTCTAGTTGCAGATGCCAGAGGCAATTTCACGGGGTCTAGGTCATACAGGACAGGCCCATCAACAATATTTCCCTTTCACCATCTGGCTGGATCTTAACCTTTGCCATCCTTGATGGTGTGGCCCTCTAGTGCCGTGGCTGAGAACATGAACTTTCAGGTGGTTCTGGCCACACAGAGCTTGTATCTACCACTTACTGTGTCCTCTGGCAAGTAACTGCCTCTTTCTGTTCTTTAGTGTCCTGATCCATCTAATGGAGGTAACAATTCTATGGATAAAGATTATACAGATATAGATAATTCTCTCTTTTTGAGGTTTCCTCTGCCTGGGAGCCCCTCCTGATCACTCCTTACTCCAGGGCCCTATTCCCACCCTGCACCACCAAATAAATACCTGGTACCTTCCCCTTTCTTACCTTCTACTCCCCTGCTTCCATGTGGCTCTCCTGTGTGCATATGCTATCATACCTGTTGAGCAGTGCTTGCCTCTCCTTTCAGACAGAGATAAAAATCTTGTCTGATTTCTCCACTGTCTCCAACAACCCAGCACAGAGCCTGACACCCAGTAGATACTCAGGAAAGTCCTGGAGAATGTATACATCCACCAGGTACCTCCATTCTTTTCTGTTTGTTCTGGGTTTTCCACGCCAGAATTATTGGCTTGATTCCGCTGGGGAACACCAAGAAAATGCATTTCCAGCAAAAACAAAGCAAAGCACAAATGACACAAAAACAGGCAGTTTGTGGGCCTTTGAGGGACAAGATTGGGCTAAGGGAAGGAGGATGCCAAGTACTGCCAGACACCCATGATTCCCAAGTCCTATAGACAGTACAGCAGCTGAGGGTTAGGACTGCTCTTGGGAACACCTTTGGGAGATGTGCCAGCTGTCTCTAAGTTAGTCTTATGGTCTGGCACTAAATTCCACAGGGGAGAGACATGCATTGATTAGGGTGTCCATTGGGTCCTATTCGCGAATCCCATTCCAAACGTGTTCATTAGCAGCAGCTTTGTGTTTATTGCAGCCAAGTAAGGGTTAATCACTCAGCAGTCAGACAAAGCCGCTTCACTTCTGAATGCCTGTGTTGTTCCCTGGCATCAGCTGTGTGGACCTCAGGCTCTGCACTGGGAAGTACTTGGGCAGGAGACAGCATGATGAGGCTGAGCTCTCTAAGCACTGGGTCCTCAAAAAGAGAAACTGAGGTGTGGCGGACAGGGCCCTACGAAGCCACTCTCTAAGAGATGACATGCATCGGGGAAAGAGTCAAGCAGGAAGGAGTCATTGCTTTCTGAGCCTCTAGTAATCATTTTTGCTTCTGAGAGCTGGAATGAAGGTAGCAAGATAACTCATGTGTGTGCAGTAACTATCACCTGCCTGGAAGGTAGTGGGGGCTCAGTATCTCAGTATTCAAGACCCATTGTCATAATTTGGAGAAAAGGCTTGGCACAGTGTCTTGGTACTTGGTGGTAGGAGATATTAATTATTGTGTGTGTGTGTGATTAATTGGAGATAAGAGTCTCTAGGACTGTCCTGCCTGGGCTGGCTTCAAACCACCATCCTCAGATCTCGGCCTTCTGCATAGGTAGAATTACAGGCCTGAGATACCTGTGCCCAAAGATATTAATTATTATCAATGTGATTGTCATCTTGAACCATGACTAACCTGAGTAGGAATATGCTCATCTCCTATGGAATCAAACAATATCTACTAAGTGTCAGCTATATGCCAAGCTCTGTATAAGTTTCTGGGCTAGGAAATTAAATGAGGCTTGATGTGTGTCGTCCTGGAGTTTAGAGGATCATTAAGGAAAGAGCTGTGTGAATAGAAGCCAGGGATGTGTTTGGTGCTGTGTGGACTCAGTGGAGTACCCAGATCAGATGGAGGACCTCTGATGGCTTCCTGGAGAAAGGAATTAACATCTGTGCTGAAGCTCGAAGGATAGGTAGAAGTTCCAATGTGGAGAGGAGACTGAGGGAATAGTATGCAAATGAAGGAATACAGAAGCATGAAGCACGGGAGGTGCCTAGAACAGGGGCCTGGCACTAGTCCAAGGTACCTGGAAAATAGGTAATCGAAGAGTCATGATGCTCAACAGGATGCATGTATCTGGGAGCCCAACTTATTTCCTTGTTGGCTGTTAGACTGTAGAGGGAGACTAGCTGTATTCTGACCGCCACCCCCATGTGCCTCTCCCCTTCCTAACTCCATTTGGAGATACCTCTGCCTTATCTACCCCATTATCTACCCTTATTTGCAGGAGTTAACCTTGAGTTCAGACTTGGATTATTCAAATGTATGAAATCCAAAGAAATGTCATTTGATTTTTGTTATATACTGTCCTACCAAGCAAGCTAGCTGCCAGGAACCAGCACTAGAAAACAAGAACTTATTACAGTAACACACTGTTTAAAACCAGCAAATCCTGTTGAACTGATGCTAGTCTAGTCACTTTGAGGATGGATAGCTATAAGGACTAAAGAAAAATACTTTTGCCTTCAGAGAAAGGGGAATGAATGGGCTACTACATGTAAAGTGCTTAGACCACTTTCTGGCACCGAGTAAGCACTCAATAAATGTGGCTGTTTCCATTTTTATTATGTGCAATGAGCATTTTGAGTGAAGGACAAAGGCAAGTAGTTGGGTAGCTGCAATGTGCCTGACTTTGGCTGGACCTCATCCTCACAGTAACCCTGAATGGTTGTGGGATAATCCGTATTTTACAAATGGAGAAACTATGGTCTGGGAGTGTCAGTAATCTGCCTAAAGTTACAGAACCAGCAGGTTGCAGGAAGTTATCATGACTGCAAGGGCACTTGCTCCTT